TTTCCTGTTATTTGTGTCCCACCCAGGGGAGGGTAGAAGTCACAGTGACAAAGTTAGCATGCCTGGGAAGCCGTGTCTGTGCCCAGGCTGGTCTCTTACCCGGTGCCCACTTCAGCTGGGCACTGGGCTCCGGGCTCACCCTCTTTTCATGGGTCTCCATGTGGAGGTCTAGAAGGATCTATAGCAGTGGTAACCTTCCCTGGCTGCAGAATCATGTGAATAATCCTGTTAGTTCATATAAGAGGCTCTTATTGAGATGCTATGTCACAGTGATGAGGAATGCTGACAGTCTGGGTTCAAATCTCCCTTCTGTAACTGTGTGACCTTGGGGATGTTTCCTCACATTTCTGCACCTCAGGACCCTCATCTACAAAACACTAATAATAAATATTATCACTTACATTATTATAATGATAACTAACAATGTAAAACAATTACTTTAGCCCCAGCGGGTTGGCTTATTGGATAGAACATCAGCCTGTGGACTGAAGGGTCCTGGGTTCACTTTCGGTCAAGGGCACATGCCTGGGGTTGAGGGTTTGATTCTCAGTAGCGGGCATGAAGGAGGCAGCCCATCAATAATTCTCTCTCATCATTGGTGTTTCTATCTCTTTCTCCCTCTCCCTTCCTCTCTGAAATCAATACAAATATATTTAAAAAAAATAAAACAATAAAACACTATTTTATGACCTTAATATAAAGTAATTCATACTAAGGCACTTAAAACAGTACTCAGCAAACAGTAATGACTCCGTGAGCCTTAAGCACCAGGGCTGGGGGGGTGGGTGGGTGGGGGTGTGGAGGCTGTAGACAGTGGCCTGGGCTTCAGTTCAGAGTGGGTGGCAGACACAGGACTCAGCAAGTGGCTATTGTACAAAGTGGTTTTGAAACAAAGCAGGGACTCTGTGCTGTTAGGGGTGGACGTGGCTGTTTCCTTTGGTTGAAGAAATCCGAGGTGGCTCGGAATATCCGGCGCAGGGAGGCAGGGCACTGGGAGGCGGGCAGGGCCAGGCCAAGCGGGAGCCCAGTGCCCCGGGCTTTGTCTTGTGTGCAGTGGAGGATGTTGGAGGATTTCTCAGGTGGGAGAGTGCAGATTGGGGCTTTAGACACACGGTTTGGGAAACAGAAGAGAAGAGGCCCCGGATTGAAGTCTGAGAACACAGTGCTCAGAGGTGGGGTGGGGAAGAGGAACCTCAAGGGGCTGCAAAGGAATTCGGGGAGATGTAGGAGGAACCAAGAAAGGATGGGGTCAAGCATGGGGAAGAGGGTTCGGTGGGGGCGGGCATGGGCCTGGGCAGGATGCCTGGCTTGAGGCTCCCCAGGGCTCCCACTGCAAAGGCAGGAAGGTGTGGTTCCTCATGAATCAGGGGGCCTTCGGCCCCTAACTCCTTGTTCCCTGTGGCGTAGGACATGAGCCCTCGGGGCAGTTCTGCCTGCCAGCCCCTACCTCCCGACTTCCACTTTTGACCTTGACTCTGGTATCTGGGCTCCATGGAAGGACGGGCTCTGGGTGGTGGCCACAGAGGTCCTCTGAGAGCCAGGTTGGAAGGCCTGGCTGGCGCGGCGGAGCTGACCTTGCTTCTGTGCTCAGAGACCTGTCAAAGGACTCTGAGCAGAGACGGATGTGATTGGAGCTGGTTTTCAGGAGCCTTTTGGAGTCTTAGGACACAGCCTCTGAAACACCGGGCTTCGCATAACCATTCAAGGAAACGGGACATGACATTTCTGGACGAGCTGTTGCACCTCCTTGCCATGGCACCCAGGAGACGGACAGGTGGGCTGGGACAAATAACGCAGAAGGGGTGACCTCTGGGGACGGCGTGTGCCCTTGGGAGCTGAGCCCGGAGGCTCGTGGGCTCACCACTACCTTGAAATTACTAAGAGGTGACCAGTTGGGTTATTTTATTTTGCTTCTTCCCTCTGAGGGACTGAGCAAAACAAAACCCTTTTTGAGAGGAAGAGGCCGCTGATGAGGGTGAATGAGCCATGCTTTGGGGAGGTATGAGGAATTAATTCAAAAGGAGGACTAGTGTGGAGATTCTCAGTAGTCTCTCCCCAAGAGTAGCTGCTAAGCCGTGTTTAGCATGTTGACACATGGCGTAAATGTTGGCAGATGTTGGCTCTGAGGGATGGTAGGGTTTCCGGAAGCAGGTTCAGGGCTAGGACTGGTTGGACCAGATGTATTTCATTGATTCACTGCAGCAGGCGCTCTTTTCTGACCGTGTGGTGGGAAGGACAGAATGCTATGGGACAGATCATGGGGTGCCCTGCATTTGGGATGGGCTGGCTTGCACCCAGAGGAGTATGAGCATCAGGTTGGCACCCTCAATGGAGGAAGGGAAGGCTGCAGTGGGGGTGGGGAGAGAAACCAATGGGGAGACATGATCTGGGGAGGAAAGGAGGAGGGGCTTTGAATGTATGAAAGCAGCTGGGAGGAAGAGCCCGGGAGGTCCAGTGGTGGGGGATGAGAGGAGGGGTCAGAGAGAGAAAGAGGCAGGTGGGAGGGGAGGCGCTCAGAGGCACACCGCTGAGAAATTCCTGGTGGTAGGAAGCAGCTGATCCATTGATTTCATGGCAACGCCTGACATGGAGTTTGTGGTTGTTTTCTGCTTTGTGCCATTATTATCCCACGCAACCCCCAAATCTTAGGAAAAGTCTGCTAGATGCAGCAACCTGTGTTAGTGGTTCTTTGGAGGAATGAGAGGTGGTCGGTGTGTGTGGGTGAAGGTGGCTGATGAAAGACGAAGGAAATCACTCGAGTCTGGAAGCTATGGTGGTGGAGAAACGGGCTGAGACGAATTCAGGAGAAACATGGCCCCCAAATCTTCAGAGATTTTGGGGACTAGGGGTCTAGACATCACAGGAATGGGATGGGCCCTTCTGGAAGACTGGGATATTCCATAGGGCCATCCCATCTGGGGACATGTAGGGTTTTTAGCTCAGTTGACTTCAGGTTCTGATTTAGGACTTACTACATTGGTTTCATGAAGACATTGTGTATAATGAAGCCTCAAGATTCTAACGGAGGGAAAACATTGCCTGGGGAAAAATTGATGAAGACAGAGCTGCGTGGAAAGAAGGGCTGGGTGTGTGTTTAGAGGGAGGAAGGTGGAAAAATATTCTGAGCGTTCCCTGAACATTTTCTCAGTCATGACTGTGCTTATGTTTAATTTTCAGAATTTTAGTCTAAACTCTTGCTATTTCAAATGTGGTCCCAGCCCAGAACTCTGGGCAATGTATGCTCCAATCACCCAGAACTTCTCACTGGTTTTCAAGTAGTCCCTCCTCTCTCTGCTCAGCATCTTCTGTCTCCGATCTCAGCATCTTTTCACAAATGATTCCCTTTTGTAAAAAAATATTTTTTGATTGATTTCAGAGAGAAAGGGAGGAGAGAGAGATAGAAACATCGATGATGAGAGAGTATCATTGATTGGCTGCCTCTTGCACACCCTACACTGGGGATCGAGCCCGAAACCCAGGCAGGTGCTCTGACTGGGGATCGAACTGTGACCTCCTGGTTCGTAGGTTGATGCTCAACTACTGAGCCACGTTAGCCGGCCAGGCCACAAATGATTCCCTTTGCTTGCAATACATTTTCCCATTAGTTCTTCCTCTTCATTCTCAATGTCACTTTCTCTCTCTCCCTGGCCTCCTAATACTCACACACAAAACAATACTATATATTTTATAGGTACATCTGTATAGTTGTACATGTCTAGAAAAAGGTCTAGAAATATGATTAGTTGAATGTTAAGTGTATCATCACACTAAGGAGACAAGGATCACTGGTGGCGATCTAGGGAACTATATTTGATGTTTGAATTCTAAGCAACAATAATATGTTCATGTACTAGTTGTACAATTACAAATAATAAAAATTCAATCCATTTGTATTTATTATAGAAAAATTGCGAATGAAGAAGGAGTCAAAAGAAGAAAAGAAAGTCAGATGTAATCTTGTTCCCTCTCCTCAAAGACAGCCTCACCATTTTTGATGTATTTTTGTTTAGGTTTTTGGCATATATTTTTAAAAAGTGTGACCATACTCTACCATTTCGTATCTTGGTTTTTCTCTATAAGATACACACTTTCTCATATTATTATAAGCTCTTTATACCATAATGATACTGAATTACCCTCTTTTGTTAGGTAGTTGGATCATTTCTATTACTTTTCTGTTATAAACAACATTAGAGGCCTGGTGCATGAATTTGTGCATGGGTGGGGTCCGGCTGGTCTGCCATGATGGGGGCCCATTGGGCCAGGCCTGCAGCGGGGAGGGGCTGTGGGCGGTTGGCTGGGCAGCCCCGCCCTCAACTGGGGCCTGGATCAGGCTGGTTGGCTGCTGCAGTGCATGTCATAGCCACTGGTTGTTCTGGTCATTCCACTGGTCTG